CCCCCCCCCCCTGCCGCGCTGTTTCCTTTCACCCACTCCACCCCCTCGCCCCGGCCCCTCTGGCTTTTAACGCAGAACACGAGCCGAATTCCGAACTAGGAGAGGATGAGGACAGCAACGAGTGGTTTTTGAAGCCTTTCCACTCAAAATAATAAGAGCAACCATATTGATTATGGTAAAAACTACAAAATAAGAATAATAACACAAGCAGTCATACCGATAGGGATCATAACAAAGCACGTCGTTGAACGACTTTTTTGTATCAAATCAATTAGATAAGAAATCTTTTGTTTATTGGAGAAATGTTCAAACCCACCATTGATTATGTATTTGGCTATTATGACAATAAACATCTTTGAAAAAAAAAAAAAAAAAAAAAAAAAAAAAAAAAAAAAAAAAAAAAAAAAAAAAAAAAAAAAAAAAAAAAAAAAAAAAAAAAAAAAAAAAAAAAAAAAAAAAAAAAAAAAAAAAAAAAAANTGAATGAGTGGAAATTCATTTTAAATTCTGAAAAACAATCTTGAAAATGAAAAATAAGAGGGGAATTGCTCTTGTATTGCACATAGTATAGTTATTTTTGCTAATAAATTAAGAATGTGCCTCCGAATGGTTATCTTGCACGTCATTTCCTCCTGTCATGTATAATTGATTGTTTATTTCATTTTATTAAATTGAATAAGATTTCTTTTTAACTAATTTTGTCAGATTTTCAAGTTCGTTGAATGTTATCGTCATCATTATTCTTATTATTCCTTTCTTCTGTACAACCGATTGTATTTTTTACTGTTCTGTCTCTCCCCTCAGCCCTTCGATAAATGTTAATTGAAAATTTTTATTTACATATGCTTAAATGAATTTGAAACATCACACTTGAAGAAACGATCGGAAAGCTCGATCTCAGGGAAACTCATGAAAAATTCGAAATTTTCGAATAAATCGAAATAACGATTTTTGCTATCGCCTTTATCTTCGAACTCGGTCAAAAGGACATCCAAACAATTTTTTCAAGCCATCATTCAATCAATTCAGAACATTTTTTTTAGTTATCGTGGGACAACCGATTTTTGAAAAAATTCGTAAATTAAAAAAAAAATCGATGAATTAAATTTTGATTAATGGCGATCGATAGGGCTCAACAATACCTACATTTTGAAGAAAAGATTCAATTCCATCCATTCATTAGCGAACAATTGAAGAAAAACTTCAATTTAGAGCTCGTACGAACGAGCTCTAAAAATTGCATTTTCGAACTTTTTGGATCGTACTGGATCGATATAACCTAAAAATCCAAAACTCAAATTCGAACGATTACAAATCTTCCATTTGGAAGCAAAACATGTTTTTCACTCTGTAGATTTTGAGTTACGGATGATTGAAATCGCTTCGTATTAGTTTTTTCAATTTTGAAAAGAAGCTTACCTCCGACCAAACGACGCGATTTGAATGAACCGGGGCTCATTTCAAAGATCGAAAAAAAATCTTTAAAGTGAGGAAAAACTGGCCCAATTTCACTCAGCGGATCTCGAGATATTGACGATCGAAGGAGCGACGTTTTTCCCTGGATAAAACAAATTCGGCGATTCTCATTCCCAAAATCGTTGGAACGATTGTTATTGAGGTTTACTCAGTTATCACTCATTCAAATTATTTCGAATCCATTGGGTGCATCAGGCCGTTGAGGTTTTCGGTTAAAGTGCAGGGAAACAAGCGATAAAAGCCCGGCATTAAAGTTTAAATAACGATAGGAAACGATAACAATTCAGAAGTCAATGGAATTTCAGAAACTCGTGAGTATGTTTGGTAACAAACATTCCTGACTCACGTTTTTTTTTTCTCATTTCCACTCGGCAGGAAAATGTTTGCAGTTGTTATTTTTACCGAGTGTCAATGGCCCCGAAAAAAAAAACGACAAAAACGAAACAAAACGAGGAAGAAGACCGAACAGAGTTCGAGTTTTGTCAATGACTCACGATGATTTGGTGAAAGTCCAGTGGGTTAAACCGTGATTCAGTTGATTTTAAATCACCGAAGAATCTCACATCCTCCCCACGAGCTCTGGATTATCCAATAGCGATCGAATGACCCCGAAAGTCCCCCTAAAAAGCATCTGAACGAGACTGCGATTCATATTGTGGGAAAGGAAGTGGCTCCTTGCCCTTAGGAGCCACAAGAAATCGCTCTGGTTTCCTCTCGAAGGTCCCCCAGGCGTGTCCCAGGATTATAAACTAAATGGGGAGTACTACCGTGTAACGGGCACAACTATCGCAAGTACAGACAAATAAGTTTTTGCAAGAGCCAATTATTTTCTCAAGAGTTCTTGCATTAGCGCGCATCTAGAAAAACTGAGATTATCCATTACTTTTTTCTCGGCATTTTGGGGTTGAGGGTATTTAAGTGGCTTTTACAGTTTGGTACGGACCACACGGAGAGAAATGTTCAGTAAAAATTACGGAACTCGCAATTCACTCACCGATTACGAAATCGACTCGGAAAATTTAAGTGACGGTATGGGAATTTTTCACAGGAGATTCAGATAAAAATTTCGGAACGCTCCGGAATTACAGGAAAGATACGTAATTTTTATTTAATTTTTCTCTCCGCGCACACAATCGGGTAACTATTTTCAATCATCAAATTTGTCAATTGAATCGCGTAAGAAAAATTTGAAAAAAATCATGAATATTCAGCGTCATTCATTTCGTTGTTTATGAATACGAATAAATTTGTTACGATTACGAACAAATGATTTTTGTGGTGGGAAATTTATTGTTTATAAGTTGCTCGTGATTTTTTTAAATGCAATTTTTTTGTTATTTCATCAATCTTCCTAGAAAAGTAAACTTAAACGCAGGGTAGAGCTACTTTAAATGCGACCGATTCCACGCTTCCCCTCGGAATCACCTCGAACCCCCAAACCACCCTCAACTCACCGTTTCTAAACATTTCTTCTTTGAAAAACCAAAACGATAATTAAATTGAGAAAAAAATGAGAATTCCGCATCCAATCGAGTATTCTGCAATTTTTTTGTTTTCAATGATCTTTGAATTTACCGCAGGGTAGAGCTACTTTAAATGCGCCCGATTCCACGCTTCCCCTCGGAATCACCTCGAACCCCCAAACAACCCTCAACTCACCGTTTCTAAACATTTCTTCTTTGAAAAACCAAAACGATAATTAAATTGAGAAAAAAATGAGAATTCCNTCAGATAAAAATTTCGGAACGCTCCGGAATTACAGGAAAGATACGTAATTTTTATTTAATTTTTCTCTCCGCGCACACAATCGGGTAACTATTTTCAATCATCAAATTTGTCAATTGAATCGCGTAAGAAAAATTTGAAAAAAATCATGAATATTCAGCGTCATTCATTTCGTTGTTTATGAATACGAATAAATTTGTTACGATTACGAACAAATGATTTTTGTGGTGGGAAATTTATTGTTTATAAGTTGCTCGTGATTTTTTTAAATGCAATTTTTTTGTTATTTCATCAATCTTCCTAGAAAAGTAAACTTAAACGCAGGGTAGAGCTACTTTAAATGCGACCGATTCCACGCTTCCCCTCGGAATCACCTCGAACCCCCAAACCACCCTCAACTCACCGTTTCTAAACATTTCTTCTTTGAAAAACCAAAACGATAATTAAATTGAGAAAAAAATGAGAATTCCTCATCCAATCGAGTATTCTGCAATTTTTTGTTTTCAATAATCTTTGAATTTCCCGCAGGGTAGAGCTACTTTAAATGCGACCGATTCCACGCTTCCCCTCGGAATCACCTCGAACCCCCAAACAACCCTCAACTCACCGTTTCTACTAGGTGGCCTTGGTGGTGCTGGATACAGTGGTGGCCCGATCGACGTCGTGGGCGGCTGTTTCCGCTGACACCTCACTCCTTGATTATCCCACCCCTCATTACCCCAATCCCGTCTACCTCCCCCAATTGATTCCGTGGAAGCACTGCAACAACTTGAACTTGAACTACCACAAGCCGTGCCGGCAGCTACCCCGATGCACCTTAGTGTCGCTGTACTGAGTTCACTGTTTGGCGGCCAGGGTGGGCGCCGCGGGGGCAGCGCCGGTGGCGGGTTACAGTCCAAGGTATCCACACTTCCACACTTATTAATCCCAACCGCAACTGAATTTAATTTTTCTATTTTAAACGAACACTCAAACAAACACCCACACCTTTGCACTTTAATCCCGCTCTCCAATACCGTTAACTCCCACTATTGTTTACAACTCCTCTCAACTCTTCTTCTGTCTGCGTCGCCTGCGCTTTTTTCTCACTGTACTGTCGTTTATTATAAATTCAACCACCGGGAGATGATCGGTACGCGCAGCGCGTGAACGCAGCGCGCACCACACGATTATCCCGAGGCGGCTCCTCGAGCCCCGTCGTTGAGCCACGATAAACTCTCCTTCGTTTTTTAGAGGGGTATAGAGACGACTGTACAACAATGCGCCGGGATGAAGTGGCGGGNGGGGGGGGGGGGGGGGGGGGGGGGGGGGGGGGGGGGGGTACAAAGAAGGTGGTAAAGCGAGAGGACGTCTAAGCGTGTAGAATCCTCACCGAGAGTGCGTCAGCAGGATAAATGACCCCCTTCATTTGCGCAATCCCCCCAATTTTTCCCCCCTAAAAAATCACTGGACACTGGTCAGTCCCCCCATAAGTCCCTTCACTCGGTTGATTTAAAAATAACAACTCCCCCGTTGTATTTTCCTCACGTTCATTCACCAGAACCGCGACAGCTCGATTTTTTTCAGCCGCAAAACCGTGGAAAAATCGCTCTATCGGGTGTTTTTATCAATGAAACAACGTCGGATTGCCGTCGGGCGGAGGTTACGGCGACGATTGGATAAACAATAATAACAACACGGCGGGGGGGAAGGGGGAACGTAAAATTTTTGGGTAAAAAATGTGAGAGAGTTGAGGGACTTGACCGATGGCAACCTCACAGGCGCTCTTCGCACACTGTTCGCCTCCGCAGCTCGACACTGGGTGCCCCCTCCACTTCACGGAAGCCCGTCTTGCCATCCCCCCCAACCCCCCACCCTCCCGTGCTTGAGCCGTTCGCCGAAGCGTTGCACCTCTGTAATACGTAATATGCGCATGCGCGCGGTCTTCCCACTCGGTTGAGCGGCGGTGAGTGCGAGAGAGAGAGCGAGGGGAATTACCTCTTGTTCGAGAGAGGCATAAAGTTGCAGAGGGGAAAAAGGATGAAAGAATTGATGTTGGGGGCGAGGGGTGGGGGGTGAAGGTGGGCGAGGGTCCGCGGGCCGAGGGGGTCGGGGGGAGGTAGAGAGTGAAGTAAAACGAAGAGAACGGCGATCGCGTAGGCCGTCTCCCGCCAGTAAACAGGCTCCTTCATTCACTGCTTATTTTATACCGTCGGCCCCTACGACCACAGAAATAGCGTGGCCCCTTACTCCTATCGCCCCTCTCTCCTTTTATATCTCCATCTTTATTTCACCGCTCGGGATAGTGTTTTTAAATGTTCACGGCACAGGTCGGAGACTCGAGTTTTTCACCGCAATAGTGGGGTTTTTTTTTTTCGAGTCACGGTTTTTCCCGATATTTACGGCGAAACGGGCCCCGGGGGCAATGATCCGTTGGGAGTTGTGAAGTTCACTAGCGGGTTCAATGCTTGAAGTTTGGGTTATCGGCGGAGATTGCTTTATCGGTATTTTTCTCTTGGAGGTTTTCGGGTTTTCTGATTAGATGGGGGAATCTCTCCAAGCGATACGAATCAAAAAGAAATACGAATGAAGGGGGAGGTGTTGTTGATGTGAAGGACATGAAGAGTGAGTTGAAGAGAGGAGGGATGCATCGTGGAGAAGTTCAGCTGGCCTCGGCAGCCATGTCGTGGCCGTGCACTGCCAGGGCCGTAGCTGTGAGACTCCGGAGAGTTTCGTGTACTCGTACATCCTCTTTAACCCACTCTCTCACTCTATTCTTCACGATTTTTTCCGCGGTCTCACTCTCCGCTCCGTGCGTCCGCCATTTTGAGACGTGCCCGCCATTTTGTTGAAGACATCCCGTCACGTGACACTGGTTCTAGCCATTTGGGGCGGGAATTCGGCGCTGAGGCATGAATTAAATGAAGGCGTGAGGGCTTTCAGGGTTTTATGGAGCCGGATGCACCGCGCATTGGCGATTATTTTGCGCGGCGGACAGCTTGACTCTCGGAGCCACTGTCGTGTGTTTCACCGCTGCAATCCCCTCACCCCATACCCCCTCTCACCTTTAGCAATTCCCGTCACTCGTAGCTGTTACCGTAGGCCAGACGCGATACTTCATTCATACTCGTATTGTGGAGTCCCAGGGACGTAATTTATGTCCGCCAGTACCTGGGGTCTTCTCCTCTCGCTCGCACATTCTCCTTCAATTTCTCCTCTCCCTTTATCCGAGAGGAGTCGCTCCCTGGCGGATCGCCGGACTCAAGACTATTTTATGAATAATGAATCAATTCCGGGGAATTTTTCTGGATTTTTATTCTATTTTGAGGCTGTTTGACGGCTGACAATTGACACTTGCAGTCCAGTTCATTACGAGCGTAAATGTTTTAATTAATGTTGTTGAGTGAGGAAAGAGGAGACTTAGGGTTTCATCTCGGTGTTGTCTTACTGTCCTCTGAAGTACACACGATACCCATTTGCAGTCAACGTGTGTCATACCGACGATTTCACCAACACCCTTGCGAATGTAATAATGTATACAACTTAACGATTTTTATTTTTAGGCGCATACAGAGAAATGACGCTGTTGAATAAAGCAAAACTATCGAGAATTTTTATACTCAAGTCAGTGGTATTTTTGAACTTTCGTGGAGAATGTTGAATTAGTTTATTGTTAATAAATTGCCACCCGTTGATTACGCCCTTTTTCCTGTAAGATTCGATGTTCCTTTTTTCAAATAATTGTGGATAATCATTCTCATTGCAGAAAGCAATGCGACCGATGGGAATTATGTGTGTCAATTTATCAGCTGTTCAATTTTCGTATTACTCTATTTCATATTATTTATTATTTTAATCATAATTACGATTCAATTCCTTCTAGAACACACTTTAGAGTGTGAATTCCTGGAATTCAATGGTTGTTGATTCTCTGGTAAAAGTGCGTGCCCACACTTATCAATTTTTAGTTAGTTAACACGGTAATTCAATTAATCTGTTGTTCACCTCATCAATATAATTCCGTGCTTAGAATATTGTCATAAAAAAAAAAAAAAAAAAAAAAANTGTCATCTCGTGTTTTCAGCACCGAATTAAAAATTAAAACTTCATTCGGAATATTGAGTCGCTTCTTTTTATTTATATCAGAAATTTTGTATTTGGATATTAATATTTTTTGTTCAAAGTGAAAAAATCGACCATCATTTTCACTATATTGCATTCAGATTCTCCTATCCTTGACGTCAAAAATGTGAGATTGTCTCATAATCCTAGCTATTAATTCTAATCAACTTTGTTCGAACAAAACCTCAGTAGACGCAATATTAAGAAAGTTGAATTATTCTATTTCCCTCTGAACTAAATGATTTGGACAATTATGACTCGTTTATTCATGTTTCATGAAAATTGGACGCAAGACGATTCGTTGGAGATATCCGCCATGTTCGAGTTCTCATTTTCGATTCGAGATACTGCGATTTGTATGGCGAATAAAGCGTGAAAAATTAAGCTTGAATAAAACTTCTTATTTGATTGAAATAAATATTTATATTTTATTCTGTAACCCGAATAAATTAATCCTTTGGGTTTGGAGTTGATGCTAAACTGAGGTGACGTGTGTCGCTGAAGGGATGAGTTCTAACGGTAAATTTCGTGGGGATCACAGTATCGGAGTACGGAGGAGCGATGTAAATAACACGGTTTGAGGGCTCAAGTCAGGGTAAAATTGGTTACGTTATCGATATTGCAATATCCTACTACTCCATTATCCAGCGGTAGAATTGGTTTCGGGGATGGATCTGAAATTGGATTGACGACGGTGGACTATTGTTCCAGTGGAATTGAGTTTTAATTAAAATTCCATCAATTGTGCTTGAAAAGGTAATTTTATCCTGCTAAAAATAAAAATTACTGTACCGGTAGGGTAAAATTTACCAACCGTTCTAGAATTTTCGTTGTTATCTAAATAAAAATTATTGGGCTGGAAGGGTAAAATTTATTATGCGTCAGGATAAAATTTCTCTAACGTAGAATAAAATTTTATCATCATTTATTAATTTTTACTAAATTTCGGGATAGAAATGAGAAGACGATGACTCATGATACACTTTTATAGAACGGTAGGATAATTTTTGTCAAAAATTTCTCTCCGTGTAGGGGGTCCCCATTAAACCTCAGGACATAAATAAAAAGCTTTAATAATAGTAATAATAATAATAATAATAGCGTCATGAGCTCTTTCCTAGACCCCACTGGACAATGTTCTCACAACTCTCTCTCAGGAGCAAAATTTTCATGACATTTCCATTGACGCCAGTGCTATGACATTAAAAAGTAGAGCAAGAGAATAGTAAAATAAAAATTAAAAAATGAGAACCCATTCGGAGGAATTTGCTTCCAAGAAAGATCATCATTGCAGACCTCTGCGAAATTCCTCCACTTCCAGCGCAACAACCCCCACCCCCGAAAATCGAGAATTTTCCATTCAACAATAAACCTTGACCACGTAATTAATTAATTAGCCTCGAGCCAATTGCCCAGAACGCCCAAGAAACCTGGCTCAGCTCATCGAAATTTCGACGATGTGATGAAAAAATGACGAAATGCCCGAGGAGAAAAAAAAATCATCGAGAAAAATCATTGACAATTCCAGACTCACCAACTTCCGGTCTGCAACTCCGCCGAGTTCACCGCGTGAAACTCATCCCTGGAATATTGATAGCTCACGCTAAAACGCTTGCAAAGACAACTGCAAAATATCCCTTGACCCGTGTTGAGGTTAAATCTTTTGTTCTGCATAATGGAATTATGGATATTCCAGCGCAACAACTCCCACCCCCGAAAATCGATAATTTTCCATTCAACAATAAACCTTGACCAGATAATTAATTAATTAGCCTCGAGCCAATTGCCCAGAACGCCCAAGAAACCTGGCTCAGCTCATCGAAATTTCGACGATGTGATAAAAAAATGTCGAAATGCCCGAGGAGAAAAAAAAATCATCGAGAAAAATTATTGACAATTCCAGACTCACCAACTTCCGGTCTGCAACTCCGCCGAGACTCATGAATTCTTTGGAACAGTGACTCGAGGAGAAAAATAATTATGAAAATTAGGTGAAACACCGAACAGGGACTCTGGCATAATCGTCACGCCATTGAATCCTTGAACGCTTCTTCCTCTGCTCCCCCCCCCCCCCCCCC